CCACAGCAGCCTGGCAGCCAACTCAAGGCTGTGAGAGTCCTGATACCAGTGGAATTATTAAACTGTTTGAACCCAGGCTTATTTGACCACAAAATGCCCCACAGCAACTCAAAGACTTGTGTTTCTGAGTCTTCTCTTCTCTCCTCTCTCCCACAGTAGAACACTTAGCATCTCAGGTAGCGCAAGAATGCCAGAGCATGGCTGGGGAAGCACTGCACTAGGTAGTAACTCCATTCTTGTTCTGATGTTTTCTTTCATTTTTCTTGCCTACCATCCCTGTCTGTAGTTGTTCAAAGGTCAGTGCTTGAAGGATAGCCTTTCTGCCTTAATTGCGGTTCAGCAAGTACCATTTTACTGCCTTGGCTACTTCTGTTTCTAATTCCTCTCAAACTGATTCACAAGAGAATCCACAGAGAGATGTTAACTGTTGCAGCCCATGGTAAGTGTTCATCTAACCATTTCTTTTTCCTGCACAAAAAGTTAAGCTACTTTTCCCAGCCCCTATAGAAACAGAAATATGTGCAGTTCCAGTCTGAGGTGGTTAAATTCAAAGGTGCTTTTTCTATGTTCTCTTATTCATTAACATGTCTGAAAACAAAGGTTTCCAAGTTGGCAGGGCTGAAAGATGGAAACCTGGGCCTCTGAATCACTGCTTAAAGACAGGTGAGCAGGCAAACTGGCCAAACTGTTTTAAGCCACCAGGATTTGGGCCTAATTTGTTATCTCGGCAAAGCCTAGCCTAAACTGACTAATAGAATGATTCATACAACACAGGATCCATAGGGAGATGTGAATTCTGAAAAGCTTCTTTCAAAAACCCAAAAGCTTAGCTCCATGGTGTTATGCGGTAGCCTTTCTCAATCTCTCTGAATTTAGGCCAGAATGGAGTCTCTTCCATGCTGTATGAGCCCTGCAAAAGTCTTCCCTACAACTCAAAGTCCCTTTCTCTGCAGCTGTTCCCCGTCCCCCGTTCAGTGGCCTCACCACCTTTGCTCCCTGGGTGAGCTCAGCCTGATTGGCTTTGGCTGCTTAACTGCTCCATAAGCACACATAACCTTGCATTCGTCATTCTATTTCTAGGGGCCTTTGATGAAGGTGTCCCTCCCACTACCATTCTGTCATACAGCCAAAGCTTTGGGCCTTTATGTCATCATGAAGTGATTTTTTTTTTCAGGGATTGAAGAATAAATCATTCCATTAAAAGGGCTTTTGTTTATGCATTTCAAAAGCAAGTATAATTTATTACACATCAGAGTATATGCAAAATAAAGGTGTTACTGCTTATTAAGTGGCAGCTCAGGAAGACTTCTCTTTTAAAGGCAAAAACCTTCCCTCTAAAGCAGGTAAAGAAATATATAAAGGCAAGAGACAGTAAAGGCCAGGATCTGTCTCTCAAATCATCACTGTATTCCCAGTGCTCATCCAGGAAACTCCTTTTGTTCCAACACTCTAATGACAGTTTTCCTTTATCTTCTAGCTTCTTATACAATAATAAATGTGCTAAGTATGAAGAGAATGAACTTTGTACAGTATATTGATAGCATGTACTCTTACCTTCAACTGTAATTTTTTCTTTTAACCTCATTTTATCCCAATGTATTTTGAAAAGTGTTGCACTTCCCACTTTGTGATTGATTAAATCAAGGTCTATTGTCTGTAAAAAGTACAATCCATTCATTCATTCAACATAATATTATCGAATCTCTAGCATCAAGCCAATGCTGGGAGCACAGGGAGACACACTTCAGCCCCGTATGAAGGGATGGCAGGCAAGTGGCAGCCAGTTGTCCTGAGGGACATTTACCTAAAGCTGATGGGGGAGCTAAAGCCAAAGATTAGTTCAGAAGAATAACCTCAGAGGTAGCCAAGCGGTATAGGGACGTCGGAACTGCTTTGCAAAAAGAGAGCAGTGTGCAGGAGGGAATGGGGCATGGACGGCATGGCCCCTTCAGGGACGACAGGCTAACTAAAGCAGAGCTGCTGCGGGGGTGGGGTCTGGCTCAGGAAGGCCCTGTGTGCCCCATATTTTATCCCAACGGTGATACATTGAGAAATTCAGTGTAGGAAAGAGATGTCATCCATTTCATTTCAGAAACTCTAGAAACAGGTAAATGGAAGCTGAAGGGCCATGAGGTTGCTGCCACAGACACCGACAAGGATAAGAAACGGCGGGGCAGACACAGCAGGATGTGAGACAGAGATGGATTCTGGCACCAGGGGCATAACTCCCGCTATGCTTTATTTCTGGGAGAAATTCTAGTTTGACGTTTTATCTCACCTTTAAGCACCTTCCCCAGCCCTGCTCTTGCCCTGAGTGTCAGAACTGCCACATCAAATTGTCCATCCCAAACAGTCTGTCAGTCTTCCCACTTTCCCGGCACTTGCTTTTAATGCTTGAAGGGGAGGGGAAGAGAGGAGAAATAAGAATGAAATGAGATATTATCCCACTATTTTAAAGGCCTAAATCCCCGTGACCTCCTTTTGTTGTCCTTAATCATCCTAAGAGAGTGCCATTCTCAAGAGAGAACGCAGCTCATGACCCCTTCAAACTTCTTGCCCACATACTCTCGAATTTAAGACACATAATAAAGTGAATTCTTGTTGACATTTACTATTTTAAGCACCAAAAATTTTCCACAGAATTGGACAGAATCTCAGATCATTGAATTTCCATGGGATGATATTTTGTACCTCATAGGGCACAGAATCTTAAGTGACACACGTTCAGTAGTTATATATTCTAACATGTATTAGAAAGCATGTGACTAGCATTTCACATCCATTATTTCAGGAATACTGCTAAGAAGAGGTTAAGTTTAAAAAATAAGTCATTTTAAAAGTGATAGCTAGGTATGGCAGAAATAGTGAAAATGAGTATGTAACTCAAGAGACAAATACTGACCCAATAAAACTCATCATTCACAAAGAGACTGAAGTTCAGGACACTAGGTGAGATGCCCACTGTGGCAAAGACCGATTGTTTATCAACATTGGATTCCCCTTGCCCCCCAGAGCTTACAGCTAAATTACATTTCTCAGCCCCTCGCAGTAAGAATGGGTGTGCTTTCTCCACATTCTTTCTTTCTTCACCTGCCAAATACAAGAATACAGTGGTGGGCTCCTAGGGAAGGATGGTCATGTGGAAACAAAAGCTTCTTTTCCCCAACATACACTGGAGAGTGACATGAGAGATATATCTTTAAGGTGGTAAGCCAGACATTTGGGGATGGCCAAGGCAATTTAGCTTACCTGACTGCAACCAGCATCACACAATTAATAGCTAAGCTGGAATTAGGACCCTGGTCTCCCGTCTAAGGGTCTCTGGTAAGGATAAATTTCTGGGTGGAAGAGAAAGGAAGTACTGGCCTTCCACTGTATTTGCCTCTCAGTTTCAATTCCCTTAAAAGGATGAGCTTCTGAAAATCACCCAAATTACAGAAAGCATATTCTAGATGGCAGAAGTTTAAAATCAGTACTGTGATGTTTTGAGACACTCAACTCCACAGGCTGATAGCCAGATGTTACTCTGTTTTCATTGCAGACTAAAGCAAGGAGAGAAAATCCATTCCAGTAGGGTTGAACTTAGGTGGATAAGTCTAAGTTGACCTCATTCCCTCCTCTAGCACCTGACGCACACCTTTACCCAATGTCTCATCTCTAGTTCAGTTTGAGGCTGGGACAGTAAAGCAAGCAGCCTGATAGTACTTTCCTCTTATGCTTGAGTCCAACTCCAGCATGAGCTGCTCACAGAAGCAAGGAGGCACCTAAGTACAGCCCTGCAGCTGGTAGTTGCAGAATACAGGCTTCCATTCTGAGCTTGAATGTGAGTGTCCTGACCCACTGTCTCCATTAGCTGAGTCTGGGCTTGACAAAGGGTCAGGTTCAGCTGCCTTCCCAGCCTTAGATACTGTGCAACTTTGCAACTGCCCATACAATTAAAAGGAATTCCATTTGGTACAAGGGCAAGGGTCTATAGATTTCAGCTGCAGCCCAACATCAGATTCCCTGCTGAGATTGTAGCTTTTGATATCCTCTTTCTTCCTTTGCTTACAAACTACGGGTGGTGGGGAGCAAGAAAAAGTTGGTTTTGTCTTTGAATGTGATAGCCCCTACACTGAAAATAAAGATGGGATTTCAGCATGGATATACGTCCCTGCTCCTACAGGTAACTCTTGATAATGCAGGGAAAGAGCAACCAATGTGAAAAGTAAACACAGGGGGAAGTAGGAGGATATTTAGGGTAAAAAGTTATATGACCATGAATCAGTTGAGAATATATATGTTACCTGCAGTGTGTGACTGAAACTCCTCAATATCCAGCCAGCGTTCCACTGTGTGTAGCTCTCTCCTTCACCAGTTAGCTAGTCAATCAAGTTTGTAGGTAGCAAACAAGTTGATGCAAACGATAGTGTCTTGACAGATGTAAGCAAAAACTTGGAGATGCTCAGCAGGAAACCCAGCCAGAGTGAAGGGGAGGAGACAACCATGGAGAAGGGAGCACCTGCGGGCCTGGGCAGACACCTAGCCTGGCAAGTGAATGGGCCCATCCACTCAGTGGGCCAACTTACCTGCCTTAGAAACTTCATCTTCTCCAAGGACATTCCATATTCCATCCACAGATCCTGTTTTGACTCTACCCACGACCTCCTTCCTTCCCACATTCCCTCACCCTCGCCCTCGCCCTCAGGCCTCTTACTGACTTGGGTTTTGGAGGAAAGCTAGACCGAGCAATGCTTATTCATACTCCTTCACCAGCCTATCTGGGTCAGCCTTTCCTTCATTTGCCAATCTATGGAGAGCTATCTGGGGAGTAAAGAGATAGGAGGGAAAAAGCCTCAGGGTAGTCATTTACCAAACATGAAAATCTCTGGAAGCTTAGAACACTTAATCCTAATAGCATGCCACATTTATAAAACGAACTTAGAAAACAGAGATGACACTTTTAATACTATCAACTAAAATTCCAGCCATGTTAATTAGTAAATAATCCTAACACATGGTCATAAGGCAAGTTGTTTATTCTTTAAAAAATGTTAGACTATATTACAAGCTACTAAAGTCTAAGAGAACCTAAATACATTTACAATAAAAAAAAGTCATCTACATTTCAGCAACATTAGTTGACCCAACCTGCAGGAATCTATGAATATTAAGAGCAATTCTGTTGATCTGGAGGTTAAGTTCTGCAAGTGCTTCAGTTCTGCAACTTATTGTAGAGGAAGAACTGTAGGTGGTTCCATGAGGGACACATGCATGTACCTGAAATGAGACCCAAGGCAAGGTCAGAAGAAGCCAAGGACTTCAGTTCTGTACAATCTCAGTTGGGCCACAGAAAACTTTCTAGTAGTTTTAACAGAATGGAAGGAAGCTGGCTGACCACAGTACTACAACCTGACAAATGATAAATCTAGACCTCTCCAAAGTGATTTTCTTGATTTAACATGTAACCTTACTCTTCCAACCTAGTACCAGATATACAATTTGTTCTATTTTTAATTCTGACATTACTATAACCCATTAAGCTTTAAATAGAGAGCCAAGATAAGAGAATGTCAGTGACTTACTTTGAAGTCTTATACTTCTCCCTAATTGCCTGCTGAGGTCGATGGGGCATATCAAGGCACGCCTTATGTAGCTCACTCAGGCAAGGCACAATTTCATTTAATGAATAGCCTGTAAATGCAGCAAGAGTTTCTGGCTAATCAAGACAAAAGAAAAAAATTGCTTCACATAACTTTGTAAGACATTAGAAATCTGAAGATAACCGATTGTGAAATAAAGAGAATTAATCTCTTAGTAAATATCCTCATTCATCTCAATAGAAACCATAACTTCCTTCAGAGACTTTCAATGTAAAATATTAGGAAGAACACCCAGAGTTCTAAATGTGCTCATACTGCATATTGATAATGTTCAATTTGGGGGCAGATCACTTTCCCTGTTCCCTCATGAGTGGGATTTTCACTGGTCTTTCAAGAGCCTCCTTGCCTGACCACCCTATTTGTATAGAATATGAAAGATTCTTAGTCAAAATGCAGGAGAAAAAAATAAGTATTCCAGAAAGTAAAGGCAGACACTCAACATCTTTTACCACTACAGTAAGCCTCCAGAACCAAACCTAAGGGCCCATTTCTGATCTTGTCACCTTCTCTGGCAAGAGGCAACACTAACTGCCCTGTTCTCTTGAAAGCCTGGTGCAATCTTCTGGCCATCCTAATTAGACTCGGGTTTTTTTTTTTTTAACACAGATAGGAAAAGTCAACAACTTTTGCTTGAAGTGGTCAATGATTGTACCTCAAGGGCCCTACGTGCCTAATAGTGGGTATTAAGGTTTCCAGGCCTGCTTCTGTTGAAGGAGCATGAGATGTATGTCCTTGTCTTCCTGCAATCTCAGTCCTCATAGAATAAAGCCATTGAGTCAAAGTCATGAAGTTTGACCTGCAAGACTCTGTAGCATGTTGTAGTCTGCAGTCAAGACAACCAATTCCTTATTAAACTTTCCCTCACGAGAGGCAAGTCTATTTTAAGCCTTGAGAGTTACTGAACAGATTTTAGATAGGTCTTGAATTTCATCTAGAAAGAAGTTAGAATCTTACCCAGAAGTGCCTGTTCACAGTATAGTTTGCCAGGCAATAAGCCGCTGCAGCTATCAATGAAGGAAGATATTTCAAGAATGGGTCAGCTTCAAGTAGACTCAGTTCAGCTACATACTAAGCACAGGAGAGAAAATTTCATTGGAATAAGAAATTTGACAAAGGTCACAAGTAAACCTAGAAATAGCAAGGGAATAAATTGTTCAACCAGCACTGGTAATGAGTACAGAAATAGAAACTCATATTTATGCACTGGGATAGTAATTGGTATGCCTGTCCATAACCTGAATAACATTTATGTTGTAATAAAATTTCAATACACAGGTATTTGGCTTATCCACATAGTATATGTGATAGGTTACTTTTCTTATCTTATCCTAGAAGTACAGGTTTAAGTTGGTGAGATAAAGTAGCATTGCTCTGGTAGCTGGAATGGGAACAGTCTTTAGCTAAAAGGCAAAAATATGACCGTATTAAAGCTGTTAATTTACCAAGCATATGCATGCAGTTCAGAGGCTAGAACAGTACAAGTGGGAACACATCAGATTAGAAGAAACATATTGGAAAATTTATGTAGACATCCTTATTACCCTTGTATAGCACATAAATACCAAATATCCTAGATCACAGTGGTTGGAAACCAAGTTGATCAAACCAATACTTTAATGTCTTCAACTAAATTTCTATAACTCCAAATCACCAAATAATGCTTCATTACTTAATATGTTAGGATGAGAGTAGAACCAAATTAAACTACATTTACTTTGTTCCCATTCTGTAAACTCAAGAGTTATTTTTTGCATGTGGTCCGTATCCAAGAAGGGAACAGTCTCCAAGTTTAAATTTCTTTAATAGTTGAGTAATTAGACAATCTGTGCCTGCCAAATGTAGTTAATAGTAATGTCTTGTAACCAGAAGTTGTATTCTTAAAATTAGCTCTCTTCCATTACTAAGAAGTTTTTCTGGGTGCATGAAATAAAGCTGAAAAGGAAGGAAGAACGGAAGGATAACTGGGAAAGACTGGCACCAGGAGTTCCTGGAAGTCACACAGGTGGCATACATACCTTGGCCAGGTTCTCAGTTCTGACACACACTCCTTGCCGCCTCAAGTACTGAAGGAGAAACTGGTTGGTGGTTGGTGCTGTCAGATCAAAAGCTAAGACTTTCAGGAGCAGGTGTTCCATTCTTAACAATTGTTGCTTAGTGTATGTATCATCAGTTATATAGGCAAACTCATCTACTCCGGGTGGATATATCTCTTCGTATTTCCTTAGAAAGGTAAAAAGTTTTTAGAAGTAAAGTTTCGAAGCTATGGCTCTACCTCCCATGGTACAACACACCCTTGCAGACTTCTTTACTTTGTACCCACATATCTACTTAAATACCACTAAATGGCACAGGGCTATGAAAATATTAGCTTTTTTCTAGACCAAGAACATGGGTATTACAAGGATATGTTGTACTTACTAATAGGAGTCATAACAGAAACAATTTCCAACTGAGAATTTTATGTTTGGCCTCTGATACACTGGAAGATTCTGAATGGCAGACACTATAGGTAAATTCTTATTAATTCCATAGCCCTCAAATCGTTTTGGGAAAAAGAATGTTATGATGAAAACAGTGATAGAAAGAGAATGCATAGGCCTTTAATTTTGAAAGATCACGTTTAACTTTCTCTACTGAATTAGCAAATGATACTGTATAGCCAAGAGGAAGATAATGATATAATTTCACTATTCTCAATTCTTTCCTTCTGCTTTGGTTTCGACTTTATTTAGGGGAATTTGGGCAAGTTTTTATGCATTAATAATAGAATGTCTGGGACCAGAAGAACAGAAAGGAAGCTACCCCTCATCTCCAGGTCACTTGAAGGCTGCTCTCACAACCCAGCTCTCTTTTCCCACACAATGGGGTGGTGTTGTGAATGAGTGACGGTAACAGGAACCAACTATAATAGTTTATTCACTGTAACCAAATAAACAAACTGTGTTATCACGGGTCATTTGCTAGATCTTGAAGACAGCTTTCATGTAAGTAAAATCTCTTTAAATAGGACTTTTACTTGTATGAAAATACAGCCAAAAGGCCACACTGCAAAAGAGCTAAATTAGATCCTGAATTTGAGCTGTTGGCTGCTTTTCAACAAGTTCGTGATAGATATTGAACTTGCTGCTATAAATCTTAAACATCTGAAGTGAAGAGTGAACATTTGGTAAGATTCAGTTTCTCAGTAAATCCTGTGAAGATGATGATCTTTTATCAAAGGAGACATGAATAGTTTTAATTATCAAGCACTGAGTTCCTTCAATAAATAGGGAATAAAAATTAAGTGTTTTGACAGGCAATAGTTTCACATTATTCAAGCTGAAAGAACACTTACGAAGCCAAAAGAATAGCTGCTGTTCCTACAAGCTGCAATCTCCCTCTCAGAACAGACATACATGAAAGGAATCTGTCCAGGAAGTTGACGGCCAGGTACAGAGTCTCTGCTCGAAGCTTATATTCTTCACCAACCTCCACCAGCCAGTCCACCAGAATCGTACGCATGCTTTCTGTGATGTCTGGCTGCTTTCTCATGTAGTGAGCTTTGGGTCTGTACCTTATCTGTTTGGGGGAAAAGTTTTGACATTTAAGTAGTGGCAGTATCAGAAAGATCACTCTCCATAGTACAGCTGCTGTTTTTAAAAATCTCAGGGGCAAAGGTTAGGAGGATCCTGATTCAGAGCCAAATAAATCTTTACCACGATGAGGAAGAAAGTAGGAAATCCTGGTTCTATAATGTAATTGGTTAACAAACAACTTAATGGAGGAGGGAAATGGCAATATGAGTTATTCCCAAGAGTGAAATACTTAAATATTTGAGTCATACAGAAATAATCCAAGTTATCACCACTTACCATCACAACTATTATTTTTCATAGATATTCTTACGTTTAGCTGTCACAAGAGTGCCATTCACTAGTGGTTATGGCCAGGAGTTTATAACTTGTCTAAATATTAAGAGCTTGGGGTCCTGGAAATTAAAATAGAAGTTGGGAAAACTCACTTCAGCTTCTCTAAGGTACTGGTGAATTTCTTCAGCATATTCAGTCACATTTATCACATCTGTGCCAAAATCCGATGCATCTTCAGACTGGGAATGGTGAGATGAACCTACCAGCATAGGGGAAACTGCAGGGGTTCAACATTGTCAGATAAGTCATTGAATTTAAAAACTTGTTCCATCCACTAACCCTCCACAGGCAGTTGTGAATGTAGTGATTACTTCCTGGTTTTCTCTTGCTAGTCACTTGCTATTGAACACTGCAGGCAGTTATGAATACAGGGCACCATCACTCATAGGTGAGTCAGATTACCTGAGCTGAAATTCAGCAGGAAGTGAAGGTCTGACTTGAGTGTGCTGGTGTCTACTTCATATACATCCTCAAATGCCATCCCCTCTCTGCCTGAGCAGCTGTCTTTGTCCCTCTGTTCAGGTTCATCCATGTAGATGTCAAACCCTTGCTTGGGGGGCCCATGGACCCCGCAGTCAGACAGCACTTTCTTTCCAGCTGGAGGGAAGGCATTTTCAGATCCCGAAAAACACCTGATTGTTGTGATCCCCTAAAAAAGAGTTAAATCTTTTATTAGAGGCCACCCCAAAGATCATATAGGTAATATGAACCTATATGACTCAAACCAGCAACCTAAGAAGGTAAGATGAATCCTAAACTGAAATATCTATGTTGCCAATTTAATTCCAGAAAATGAAGCTTCAAAAGTATAACTTTTCCCTTATCTTTGTCGACATTTGATATATGGGAAAAGAGCTACCTAAAATTTGTCATCTTCCTCACATAGGCATCAAAGAGAACTCATGATTATAGAAAAAGAAAAGCTATAGCTCTTCTCCAAAATGAAACAAGTACCACATGTAAGGGAAGTTTGTAAATTGGCTTTTATGTTTATAGCATCATGGGATATTACAAGTAGTCAGAATAGCTCTTGACCCTTATTTACTGAGTTCCTATAGTCTTCCTCCTTAAATAGTGACTTTTTACCACCAGTCTTTTATAAAGTTCCCATTTTATACCCAGTTATTTAGAAACATGATTTTGAAAACCCATACTACTAAATTCTCTTACAAGGCATAGAATGTTTTTGTATGACTTAATGCAATTACTATCAGGGAAATTTCTCAATCACTTCTTCCTTTTCTAAATTCTTATAACATTAACAATGGGAACAACTGTGGTGTCACCACAGTGAACAAGTATAATGTGCCAAACACTGTTGCTTCTTATGGTGAGTCATGTTGGATGGTATGCAAGTCAGTTGAACCAGGGCAGGTGGGCAAGCTTTATGAACCTGAGCTATATTTATGCAAATACTAGCTCTATCTACTGCATTAACATTGTTTATATAATTTATCTTGGTGCTTACTGTTGAAGGCTACTTCTAAGTTAGTATGTGCTTCTGTAACTTGCCCTTGCTTTTATCAAGTTAAATATGTGACTTATGTCTATAAAGAAAAAAACCTTTATGATAGTACAGGAAAAAAAAATCACAAAGACTATAAAGGGCACAATCACAAGTTACTATAACCAGATAACCAAGACTCGAAGTTACTGCCAAGTTTGACTCTTGCTATATAGATACATGTACATAGGTGGAAACACATATTCATTAAACAAACATTTACTGAACTCATGTGCCAGTTGCTATTCTAGGTGCCAAAATTTAGCAGTGAACAAAATGTTCAAAAAAGACTATCCTCATGGGATTTATATTCTAGTCCTGGAGAGGTGGGGTGGTGGAGGAGACAAAGAAGAAAAAATATAGTAGGAGCAGACAGAGCACAGTGAGGTAGAGTTGTGTAGTACATAAGGCCAGAAAGATCATGCAGGCCTTACCATAGGCCATCTAAGGACTGGATTTCATTCGGAGATGGAAGCCACTGAAAGATTTAGGCAGAGGAGTGGAATGATTCTTTTATGTCTGAAAGGATCATTCTGGCTGTGTATAGGTATGGAGAGCAAGCTAAGAGTAAGATGACCAGTTATGAATCTTGCAAATTCTAGGCGAGACATAACAGGGATTTGAATCAGGGAAGTTAATGATAAAAAATGAGAAGTGAAGAGGTTCTAGACATTTCAAAAAGTAGAGTCAATAGTATTTTCTCACTAGATTAGATGTGGGGCGAGAAAAAAATAAGAGTCAAGGATGACAAAGGTCTTGAGGTTAAATCACAGGATGGATGGACATTCCACTTACTGAGACAAGGAAGAATTTGTAAAGAGCAGGCTTGGAGTAGGGAAAAAGGTTGGTGCTTGGTTTTGCATAGTATGAGGTGCCTATTATGTGATCTAAGAGGAGGTGTCAGGTAGGCTCCCAGTAGGTGAACTCACAATGCAGCTCAGAGGCCCAGGCCAGAGGTAAAAATGAGTCATCAACAAACAGATGGTATTTAATGCTGGGAGACTTGAAGAGATTACTAAAGAAGTGAGTACAAGATTCAGACCAAAGACTAAGCCCTAGGGCACTCTAACCTTAGAGAACAGAATTATAAGGAAGAACTAGGATATTGAGGAGTATAAGCTAGGTTGAAAACCTGAAGAGAGTGGTGTTCTTCAAGCTGAGTGGGAAGAAATCATGTTAAGGAATAAAGAATGTTGAACTATGTCAAATACTGCTGATCAGTCAAGCAAGGAAAGGATTAGACTAAGATTTGAGTCAAAAGAGAGCAAAAGAACAACTACGGACAGCATTCATCCAAAAAATAATTACGTGGTACATTATGGTTCTAAGCAATGAGCATACAAAGGAAAATATAACATCCCAAATCCTCATCTGCATGGAGCTTACGTGCTAGTTGGAGACACAAACCCTTAAGGGAATGTTTCAATAAATGGGACAGAAGCTACAAAGAGCATGTAGTTGAAAGGTTTTTAAGATGGAAAAAATTACAATATATTTGTATGCTTATGGGTTTGACCCAGTAGAGAAGGAAAAACTGATGAGAGAAGAGTTGCTAGAGTGATATCCTGGAAGAAGTAAGAGGACCTGAGGTATACTACACACATGGAGGGATCGCCTCATATTAAGAGCAGGGACACAGCAGTCACATAACAGGAAGGGGACGGCAGAGTATATGGGGCATGTGGAGATGCTCTTCTGGTTGCTTCTATATTTTTAAGAAAATAGGATGTAAAGTCATCAGCTGAGAGTAAGGATGGAGAAGAAGGTTTTGGAGGGTTAAAGAGAGAAGGAAAGGTAGGAAACAGATTTCTAAGAAGATTGTGGAGGAATGGAGCAAGGAAACGCAGAGGTGGTGCCTGGCAACGTAAGAGGAATTTAAAATGAGACCAGTCTGCATAGGCACAACTGAAAATTCATTAAGAGCCAAGTCTTAGGCTTTAAATTTTAAAAAATAAACATTGCTAAGCAAATTAAAGTTTGTTAAAACCACTTTCACTCAATTTTCTCCAAAGCTTTGAAGAGATCACTTGAAGAGTCAGTAGATTAGAGGCTTCTAATCTAGCTTCCACCATAACTTTCTTTTGGTGAGGGCTTAAACCTTTCAAATTTTCTCACCTATAAAATGGGAATGTACTGTTTTTAATGTTAAGGAAGGGATCCATGATCAGTTAAGCTCATACAACTGATATGTGAGGACCCACTGCCCATCAGCCCAGCTGCTTAGTCAGTACTGAGGAGATGTCTGCTTTCAAAGCACCCTTTTTGGAGTAATCTAGTCTAGCCTGACCCAATCCTGATTCTAACACTCTCCCCAATAAGCACAGCAAAGGTCACCCAGTATTGCTTCAGGCATGGCCTACATCAGTCTAAACAGCACTCTGACCTGGAGGAACCCCAGTTTCATAGTTTATTTTGAGGCATTCACATTTCCTTTTAGCCCAGCACTTAAATCACTTTACATATGCTTAATCCAAAGAGTTCCTAGACCGATTTCCTTGATATTGGAAGAATAAGAAAGAAAATTAATCACTTTTTCTAAGTGGAAAACAGGATCATTCAAGGTGATCTTTAAAAATCGACTTCCCTATAGTCCAGATTCCAGGGTTCTAATACTTAAGGGGCACTTGCACACACGAAGAGGAAAGAGAAGGGCACCTCCCACCATAGCAGGAGAGCCATTCTCTGCCAGCATCTTTCTCAGTACTTCTGAATCATTACCTGGGCACAGGTCTTCCTGAACTGCCCATTTTCAGTTAGCACCCCTAGCACTGTTCTTTGTGGGGGATCCTGGCCCAGCTGGGCTCTGGTGAGCATCTGACAAGCATCGGGACCTCCAGCCACTGGAGCCACGACGACGCCGCTCTTGGAGCTGCTGCGACGCATTGCCTCAGACTCCACAAGCTGCTGCCACCAGGGAAAGACAAACAGACAACCCGGTTAACCAACCCCCTCCACCCCCGGCTTCAAGGACTCTGTAGGAGGAGAGAGCACCTCGGGATCAGCACCAATTGCTGATCTTTCCAGTAATTATTAGGGCTGAAAGGGTGTGAGCGACGGCACAAGAGACCCAAAGCTGCTCTGAAGCAAAACAGTGATTTGAATCTCTCCAGGTTTTCTACCAAGACCTGCTTGAGGGCTGGAAGGAGACATCTCATATTAAGAGCAGGGACACAGCAGTCACATAACAGGAAGGGGACGGCAGAATATATGGGGCATGTGGAGATGCTCTTCTGGTTGCTTCTATATTTTTAAGAAAATAGGATGCAAAGTCATCAGCTGAGAGTAAGGATGGAGAAGAAGGTTTTGGAGGGTTAAAGAGAGAAGGAAAGGTAGGAAACAGATTTCTAAGAAGATTGTGGAGGAATGGAGCAAGGAAACGCAGAGGTGGTGCCTGGCAACGTAAGAGGAAACCTCCAAGGTGAGATACTAAGACCAACCTTGACTGGGAATTTAAATCTATGAGCCTAGGTCTTTCGCTGCTATGACACTCATCTCCCCTGGCCCCAAACAAAAGATCCAAGATACATTACTGTGGGAAAGTATGTCCCCTTCCCAAGTGACAAACAGGGTGCTGCCCCGCGGCCCTCCTCCCACCAGACAGAAGGCCCCAAAACCTGCTTGGAGCCCACAGCCGGGCCCCTCTGTCCTCGGCGTTGTATCTTTGTGTGTGCCTGCAGCAACCAGCAAGTGCACTCGAGGACTGGGGCTGAGGGGCCACCAGAGGGGACGGGGCGAGGCAGGGCGGGGCGGGAGGTGACCGCGGTGTCGATAGATTCCAGCCGGGGCGCCGGCACCCTGCGGCCGCGGCCCAAGCGCTGCGCTCTAATCTCTTTCCGCCCACCGCGTCTGTTGAATCGGCCAATCAGCGGCCTCCCGGTCCCGCAGGGCCCGCTCCCATGCCAACCGCGGCGGGCGTGCGCGCCGGGGGCCGCATCGCCATGGCGACCTCCTCACCTGACTCGCTCCGGGCTGTCGCGCCGAGACCTCTGGGCGTTCGGGACCCGGCGGGGCCAACGGGCGACTGCCCGCCCTCCGGCTGCTCCAGCGAGGCCCTGCCTGGGCGTGCCAGGGCGGGCGGTCGCCGTCGGCACTCGCGCCCCTTCGGGCTGGCGCCCCGGCCCGGAAGGGAGGAAGGCGGCCCACCCGGAGAATGCCGGGGCTGTTCCCCTGAACCCGTTCTCCCAACAGCCGCTAACTCCTCCCGCTAACGTCTTTTGCGCGGCCCGCTCCTGAGAACCTTGGCTCGGGAGAGCGACGCGGGGCTCTCGGGGCTGCGCAGCCCGCGGCGCCCTGCCCACGCCGGCCCGAGGGCGCGGCTCGCTCCCTTCCCGGCTCACACACCTACACTTCCCGCCGGACGGCGGCCGAGGCGCGGCGGGGTGGTCCCGGGTGTGAGGCGGGACCTCCGAATCCGCAGTGGCGGCGGCCCTTTGATCATTTGAAGTCCTTGAGCGCCCGAGGCCGCGCCTGGCCGGCCCTGCTCCCGGTGCATGTGTCCCGGCGAGGCGGGAGAGGAGACTTGGGGTGTTAGGGTCGCACGTGGTGTTCGAGGTCCCCACGAGAGGTCTTCCCTGACGGGGTTCCTAGTGCCACTGCGTGAATCCGGCCCGGGAACGCCGAGATTGTGGCCCAGGAAGAGGAAGGAACGTGGGCAGCAGCGATGGGGCTTGGGACGTTGAGGGGACAGTGGCCAGGCTCCGAACTGGGGCCTGGGCGGGTGGCCTGGCCACGAGGGGAGGGAAAGCCCCTCGATCCGGGGTCCACAGCCAGGTAGGGAAGAAGAGGGCCTTCTACGGGGGCGGGGAGGGTCCTGGAAACCCGGGACCCCTGGCACCCGTAGGGTGACTGGCAGTTTGCAAGCCAAGTGAATCTATAACTTTATTTTGGAAAAAATGTATATATATGTATATATGCATTGCATATACACACAATACCTATACGATAATCTGTTACCACTTGTGCTGTTTGTTTTTGTTTGTTTTTTAAACATCTATCCCTAAATGTCTAAAGCAGATCCAAAGGCCATTCAAATGGCCACCTTAAGCAACGATTAGTTACCACCGTCTTCCTGAGAATGCGTTTTTAATATTTCCACCGAGTGCACTGGGTGTGCATTGTCTTAATGGGACTCTGGTAACGTGTTTATCGCCACAACAGATGAGTCAGATGCCAACAAGGACCAAATACTCTGTTTTGCAAGGTGGCTCTTTCCGGTGATGGAAAGGAGTATTTCTGCCCAGGGAGCCCTCCCCCACTTGGCCACACTTGTGATTGCTTGGGACGCTGAGGGCCTAAGCGGTTAGCTCCACCAGAGACTCGCCTTGCAGGCAGGCGTGCCAAGAGCGTAAGTCCCTTGGGAGGGGGCAAGTTTGGCTGTGCTCACAGGACCTGATCTCTGTATGTGCCTTTGATCTGATTTCCTCTGACAAAGATGAGGGAAACCTCACACTCCAGAACAAAAGAGCTGATGTAATGTTTGTTCCTGGAGCCTGTGGTTTTGATCTCCCTTTTCAGGATTGAAGCTCCAGTGGGGAGGTGGGAGGAAGAGGGGGCGCCCGGCTTCTGCAGAGGCAGCTCTTTGAGGATGTGTGCTGCCAGCTCACATCGGGTCAAGACCGGATGGCAAAGGCTACGAAGTTGTCTAGCGTCTCTTAGCCCTCTTTAGCCTGAAAAACGCCTTTTAAAAAGAAAATAATCCAACTAAATGGTGCCCTCAGATTATTTCATACTCCTTTCTCTACTGCCTCTGTTCATTTGAATGCCTGCAGCCTACTCCAGCCTTAATATCTCCAAAATATTACTATTGTTACATGTAAACACCACCTTTCTTCCCTCTCCATCCACTTTGCTAAACTTGGCAAAGAAATGATTGTGTAGCTTATGATTGTTTTCTTCTTGGGCTGCCTTAGAATTCCATATTAAATCATTATAATCCTCTGGTCATATCTTAGATTGGAGAATGAGCCAGGTGAGCTGATACCTATATATGCGTGTGTAGTGTAGGGAGAAATTCAGATACTTCTTTAATTTGTACAATACTTCTGGCTTTCAAAAATATCTTCACTAAATACGCAGTTCAATGAGTAATGATTTATGACATAAAAACAAATTCAATTAATGAATAGATGCACAATTTTTATGTAAAAAATCTAAACTATAAATTCGACCTTAGCATGAAGAACAACAGGAGCAGAGGGAATAGAAAGGACGTTCTCACAAATTATGCAGCTTTAGTAAGAAGCATAATTATAATTTTGCTTTTATAGCAAAATCAGCATTAGAACTCAAAGATAAGTAGATTTTAAATTTCCCTTGTTTTACATAAAGTATATATTTGGCAATAAATTTTATTGCAAAGTAAACAATGCATTTAATTCTAAATAAAACATTAATATCTAAAATATTTGGCATAACTTAAATACTAATATAACATCCTTTTTAACTTAAAAAGTTACTGGTCAGCACTTCCTGATAGTGAGTGTTTGGCTGGCTTTCACTGTAGGATTACCTTCCAAAAGAAGGATAACTGAATTCTTTACTACGGATTTTTAAAATCCAAAAGTCCTACTAACATTGACTACTCCCTCCAAATTACAATTTAGATAATCTTTTCTGTTTGCCAGCAATTACCTGGCATTTCAGAAGCAGGTGTTACTTCTCTTACATTTGCTCATTGTAACTAGTAATTAACTTCCTGTTCAAACATTTTAGTTTATTAATTTGTATGAAAGCAAGTTGATTTTCAAGATGGGCCTGAAAAAGAGATGAAAAAAGTAGAAAAAAATTTATATAAGGACAGAGGTCCATTTAGAGACATATTTTGCCTATTCATGGACATACTTCTGTCATTCTCAGGTGTATATTTAACTTAAGAACATAGCTATATGGTGAGATGAAAGACAAAGGAGCCAGTTGCAATTTGTGACATTTTAAACCACAGCTCCAGGGAAGATGACCAAAGGATGAATCAAGTCCAGCTTGAGAAAGAGCCAAAAATTTACAGCCTTACAAAGCACATTTCATCAGGTTATAAAAAGTGGATCTCTTAGTACATAATCAGTGAAATAAGTTTTCATTAAAACTTGTAAAAGACCACCTTCTCTGAGAGAAAAGTGTGAATACATACGTGAGATTTGACAAAGTCTATTGTTCATTCATTCATTTCACAAATAATTTTTTTGCACCCATCATATGCCAGGGAGTATCTGGGTATGGGTAATACAATTAAAAATGATCCTGTCCTCAAGGAGCTTTTGTTCCAGGCAAGGAGAGGTAACAGATAGCTATGATGTGGTATAATTAGTGTTTATTTTTATCATGGGGGATACAGATGTATAAACAAGCAGCAGTTGGAGCTTAGAGAAAAGGAACAAGGCATGTTGCTGGGAAGATTTGGAAGCAGTATCCAGATATGATCATTAAGATGATTGGCATCTTTAAAAAATTAACTGACCAGGAAGAAGTAATAGTCTACATATATCCTAGAAAGGGGGCACCCAAAGAACAGGGCTTTTGGCAATGTTTATCCACTACCTTCCAAGGGAGAGCAGTAACTTGTGATATCCAAAAATCCCTCAAGGCTGTCTTCTACTGGCTCTAGTACAGACTCCATGAACAACTATTTAATATCTCATGAAGAAGTCAACCTCCCAGGAACTTGGTGAAAGGAAGAAGGTTTTGGTGACTAGTTACCATGAGTTTGTCCCTAATATTGTGCTCAGCTAGAGCTGTATTCATACTGTTAGAATCAGATTCCCATAATGCAGAGTTGAAGCCTTTCCAAGATTCTGCACCAAGGAAAAAATAATTTCACTGGGACAATAAAGCCGTTTTCTATTATAAATAATTGAAAAAGTTTTTAATTATCAGATCTTTACTGATAATCTGTCATCAGTGGAAATCAAGAA